TATAAGAAATGATGTTTAAATAGACACAAAGGGTCTAAAAATAATGGAATGGAAAAAGATATGTCATGATGATACTAATTAAAAGAAAAGTTGGAGTGGCTATATTAAGAATAGAAAAATTCAGTTTCAGAATAAGAAATATTATCAATAATAAAAGTGATCATTTGATATTGTTGAATGGGTGCCTTTTTCAAGAGACCATAGCAATCCTAAATATTTATGCATATGATCACCAGGTTTCAAAATGTGGGTAGCAAAAACTAATATAATTGCAAAAAGAAAGAAACAATCCACAAATATAATCTCAATTATATTGAAATTAAAGATTTCAATATTCCTCTGTCAATAATTGACTTAAAAAAAAAAAAGTTGACAGATGTCAGGAAATACATAGAATACTTGGACAATACTATCAACTAAATTGACCTAATCGACATTTATAACATACTCCTTCCAACAATAGGAAATTATATATTTTTTCAGTTTCATGTGGCATACTTACTAGGATAAACTATATTCTAAGTCATAAAACAAGCTTCAATAAATTTAAAGGAGTCAAGTCTTTTAAAATATGTTTTCTGAGAACATGGAATTAAATTAGAAATAACAATAGAGATATCCTTGGAATATCTATAAATATTGGAAAATAAAGAATACATTTATAAATAATCCATAGTTTGAAGGAGAAATGAAGAGAAAAATTTTTCTATTTTGAAATGAGAATAGAATTATGCAGCATTTTAAAAAATTAAAACACAGTATATAAAATTTGAGGGATTCCATGAAAGAACTATGTAGAGGAATTTGTAGCACTAAATATTTATAGTACAAAAAAAAAAGTCCTAAACTGATAACATCAACTTTAAGGAACTTGGGGAAAAAAAAAAAACAGCAACTTAAACTCAAAGCTGGCAAAATAAACTAATAAAGATTAGAAAAGAAATTACTGAAAAAAATAAAATAAAAACAATAAAGAAAAATCAGTGAAATCAAAAGCTCATTCTTTGAGAAAATCAAGAGAATTAGTAAAGCTCCAACCAGTTAGAACATGTAAAAAAAAAAAAAAAAAGAGAGAGAAGTCACAAATTCTAATAACAAGAATGAAGGAGTTGACATCACTACAAAATTTATAGATATTAAAAGTATAATAAGGAAATATGAAAAGCTTTGTGCCAAAAATGGTAAAATGGACAAATTCCTTAGAAGTAATAAACAAATTCACTCAAGAAAGAATAAATAAACAAAATAGTCCTATAATAATTAAATAAATCAAACCTGAAGTTAAAAATCTTCCCAGAAAGTGGTGCCTGGGTGACTCAGTTGGTTAAGTGGCCAACTCTTGATTTTGGCTCAGAGTCCTGGAATCTAGCCCCACATTGGGCTCAGCACTCAGAAGAGAGTCTTTCTCCCTCTGCCCCTCCCCACCCCTCTCTCTCTGTCTCTCAAATAAATAAATAAATATTTTTAAAAAAAATCTTACTAAAATGGAAGATTTTAAGACCACATGGCTTTACTGGTGAATTCCACTAAATATTTAAGGAAGAAATTATACCAATTGTACACAAACTACTAAAGACCATCAAAGAAGGAATACTTCTCAACATTTTGTATTAGGTTAGCAATATCCTGATACTAAGTCGAGGCAAAAACTTTACACAAAAAAGAACGACAGACCTGTATTCCTCATGAGCATAGATGGAAAAATACTAGACAAATTTTTAGTAAATTGGATTTCAGCAGAGTTTATGCCAAAACACAAGGTTGGTTTAACATTTTAAAATCAATGTAATTTACCATGTTAAAAAAATAAAAATAAAATCTCTATGATCTTCTTAATTGATACAGAGAACAATCAGTCAAAACCTGATATCTATTTCCAATAACAATTCTCAGCAAATAAGGAATAGAAGGAAATTTCTTTAACCGAATAAAGTGCATCTGTGAAAATTCTATAGCTAATATATTCTTAATGTGAAAACTAAATGCTTTCCCCTTAAGATCAGGGATAAGATAGGATGTCCACTTTTACCACTTCCTTTCTTTGTGTGAAAGACTCTGGCCATTGAGGCCGGCTAAACAAAAGCCTGATTGTAAGAAATACAATTGTCTTTATTTGAAGACATGATCATCTTCATAAAAAATCTGATGGACAATGTGCTACTAAGGAAAAAAGTGAATTTAGAGATGTTGTAGAAGAAAAGATCTCTACACAAAAATGAAAATTGTATTTCTATATTAACTATGAACAATCAGTAATTGAAATTTTTTTAAATAGTATTTACAATAGCATAAAAAACAATGACTTTGAGGTGGATCTGACCAAAGGTTATTACTTATAAATTAAAAACAGTAAAACATTGCTGAGAGAAATTAAAGAAAATCTAAATAAATGGAGAGATGTTCTTTACCCATGAATCAGAAGACTAGATTTTTTTAAATAGTGATTCTCCTCAGATTGATCTATAGACTTATTGATCTTTCAAAAATCCCAGTGGGTTTTCCTGTATAAATTGATAAGTTGATATTTGTTTCAAAATTTGCATGAAAATTCAAGAAACACAGAAAATCCAAAACAAATTTGAAAAATAAGAGCAAAAGAGAACTACCTGATTTCAAGACTAATTATAAGACTAAAGTAATGAAGACTATATGGTATTGATATAAAGATAGACAAATAAATCAATGGAACAATAGTCAAGAAAGAATCCTTTACTTTTACCCTTACCAGACAGCTGATTTGGGGCAAAGGAGAAAAGGCAATTCTATGGAGAAAACACAGTCTTTCAGAAAACAGTGTTTGAACAACTAGATAACCACATGCACAATATGAACTTTAATCCACACCTCACACCACATATACAAATTAACTACAAGGGATTCTAGACCTAAATGGTAAACTGAAAAGTCTAACATTTCTTGAAGAAAATGGGAGAAAATCTTCGTGATCTTATGTTAGGCAAAGATTTCTTTGATACAACATCAAAAACATATCTATAAAAGAAAAAAAATGATGGAACACCTGGGTGGCTCAGTTGGCTAAGCATCTACTTTTGGCTCAGGTCATGATCTCAGGGTCCTGGAATTGAGCCCTATGTTGGGCTCCCTGCTCAGCTAGAAGTCTGGTTCTCCCTCTTCCTCTACCCCTCCCTTTGCTTGTGCTTTCTCTCTCTCTCTCTCTCTCTCTCTCAAATGAATAAATAAAAATCTAAAAATAAAAAAGATAAATTGGATTTCACCAAAATTTAAAACTTCTGTTGTCAAAAATTACTATCAAAATAATGAGAAGTTAAACTGAAAGAAAACATGATAGTTATAATAAGGAATTTGTATTCAGAATATTTGGAGAAGATTCAAGACTCAAAAATAAGGGCAGGGCTCCTGGGTGGCTCAGTTGGTTGAGTGTCTACCTCTGGCTTAGGTTGGAGTCCCAGGGTCCTGGGATGGAGTCCCACCTCGGGCTCTCTGCTCAACGGGGAGCCTGCTTCTCCCTCTCCCTCTGCCTACTGCTCCCCTTGCTTGTGCTTGCTCTCTTTCCCTCTCTTTTTTTATCAAATAAATAAACAAAATCTTTAAAAAAATAAAATAAACAATAAGGAGGAAAAATCCAATTTTTTAAATGGAAAAAATATTTGAAGAGCCATTTCAACAAAGAATACATGTGGTAGCAATGAAGGTCATGAACATACGCTCAATTCTATCAGTCATTACGAAAATTCAAACTAAAACTCAAGGTACCAGCATACACCTATTAGAACGACTAAAATTAAAAATACTGATCACACTAAGTATTGGCAAGGATGTGAAACAACTCAAATTTTCATACATCAAGGATGGAAATGTAAAATGGTGCAGCCACTTTGCAAAACACTTTGGCATTTAGAAAATTAAATGTATGTATATTATATGTTCTAACTACTCCACTCTGAACAAAGACTTGTACAGAAGTATTCATAGAAGCTTTACTTGTGATAGCCCTGAATAGGAAACAACCCAAATGTCCATCACAGGTGAATAAATAAGTAAATTTTGGTCTTTCGACTCAATGGAATACTGCTCATCAATAAAGTAGGAATAAATTGCTGTTACATACAATGTAAATGAGTTCAGGGGGAAAAAAGAGCAAGTCCTGTGTGATTTTATTAATATAAAAATAGAAGATGCACATTGCTCTGTAGTATCAGAACACAGATCATTGGCTGCCTCTGAGCAACATGGGTTGGAGAGGGGCAGAAGGGAGTGATGCAAAGGGCACTCAGGAAGCTTTTGGAGGTGGTGGATATGTTTATTGTCTTGAATGCTGTGATGGCTTCACAGATATATACACATGTCAAAACTTACTAACTTGTCCACTAAGTAGGTGCAGTTTATTGTACAGCAATTATTCCTCAATAAAATCTGCTTTAAAAAGATGAATATGTATAGAATTCAGACTGTAGCTAAGGATAGAGGAATTTGTGACCATCACCTTGATGATGATAGTTCAGGAGTCCCTAAAAGAGATTCAGGAGGCCATGATTCTGCTCACAGTGTGTGCAGAAGTAAGCGTCACTGTCTATTTATAGTCAGTCTGCTTAGGTTTGAAACCCAGCCAAATAAATGTAGGAGGTGTGAATCTTTGGCAAGTTTCTTTATTCAACCCAGCTCAAATTTCTTACCCAACCTCATGAGATTGTTACAAGGATATAATAGATCACACAGTAAGTGATCACAAAATGTTAGCTTAACAAATGCTATATTCTCACGTCAAAACTTGGGTGAGGGATTCATAGCTTTGGCCAGCTGCTCAAAGAGTTCTGTCTCTCAGAAATTCAACCACTATGGTAAGTGAAGTTGTGAAAGGCAGGAGAAATTATTCAAAAAGAGTGTGCAGAAGCAGATGAGAAAAATAAGTACAGAATCTGGGAAAACTATCTGAGCTTGATGAGCAAGAGACAGAGAAGGAACCAGATAAGAAAACTGAGAAGTAATGCAGAGGTAAAGTGGAAACCAGGAACTGGCGGGGTCACGGAAGCCAGAAAAGGAAATATTTTCAAGAAAAAAAATATCACATACTTCAGCCATGTGGAAGAAGCTCAACTATAAGAAAGATCGACTGGATCTGACAATAGTGAGTTTTAACTTTTTTGTTTCTTGAGATATAATTGATATATAACACTATATTACTTGCAGGTGCACAAATAATGACTTGATATCTATAGATATTGCAAAATGATCACCACAGTAAGTTTAGTTAACATGTTGACCTTTAAAGGAACTATTTCACCAGAGAGGTGGGGAAACAAGGCATAGGAATAGGGGGATATAAAGAAATGGTTAGGAAGCTGGACAATTAATTCAGAGAACTTTTTGAGAAATTTAGAAATTATTTGAAAACAAAATAAAACAATAAGGCTATAGCTGTAGGTGGTGTTAGGGGAAAGAGAGTATTTCTCATGGTAAGGAGCACCTGAGCTTGTTTTCAAGATAATGGGAAGAGGCCAGAGAAAAACAGGTTGTTGGAAATGAAAAAAGGACAAAGTGACTCTTTCAAAATGAGGTTTTAAAAGAAGTAAAAGAGGAAAGGCAAGCGGGTATGCAGTCTTAGAAATAACATTTACATTTTATGTAACCTTACATTTTATGGAAACTAGAAAGAAGAAAAGAAGAGTGAGGACCAGAGACATTTTGAGCTGAAGAGGAGGAAAATTGAGGTCTCTGGTATAATTACCGAGGTCATGATCCAAAAAAAGAAGATAATTGACTGACATTGCCAACACAAGCATGGTAAGACTAAGAGACTTGAATTGTCAAGAACTTGATATTACCACATACATGATGTGCTGGATGTAGATTTTCTGAAAAATTTAAAGAGATAGAGTACTGCAACCTCATATACCTGACAACAGATACTATCACAGACTCGAGGTTTTATTTTGTTTTTAATAAGTGATTATATTGATGTCAAAAGCTACAAGCAATAAACCACAATATATACAACCATGGAATGAAGGACCTGGTTACTAAGTACACAGATTCATCTATTAAGCCTTTGGTTCTACTTCTGATTCTGCTCTGTGACCCTGAATAAGAATCTTTGCCTTGCTGAATATCAGTGCCCAACTAAACAGTTTGATCCAGGTTGCACATGGTAAAATTAAATATCTTTATTTCAGTTCCAGAGATTATATCATTTTTGGTTTAATGGGACTTGACAAGTTGTTGGTTTTTTTTTTTAATTCCAAAACAAAATATGTTCTTTTCATCAGTAGATGAAAATAAATAAATAAGAAAACCCAGAGTCAACTGTCAGGCCCCTGTACCATGAGGGTTCAAATTCGCTGAAGTCCCCTAGTCACCCTTAATTTCCAACAGATAAAACAAAAAAGGTCATTTGTCTGGCTACATAGGCTTCCTCAATCAGAGACAGCCAATGCCCTTCCAGCTTCATGTAGGTCATTCTAAACAAAATTTAGTGTTTCTATGATATTTTCCAGAGAACCTGACCTGACATCAAGGAAAAGCAGTGCTTTGTTTCAGAAGGGCACAAGTATAGTAATTAAATATGAAGTTTCAGAAATGAAATCACCTGAGTTTGAATTCTGGCCCCATTGCCTACTAATTATAGCTTAACCCTTCCAAGCCTCCTTTTCTCCACCAGCAAGACAGCACTGTTAAAAATTTCAATGAGCGTGTGCATCAAATATGCTTAGGATAGCATCTGGCACATAGTGAGCAATAAATGTTATTCTTTTTTAAATTTTTAATAAAAATGCACTACATTTGGGGAAAATACTTTTTCCCTCAATGAATATTTCTTCTATTCAGATAATATTCTGTTGGGTACATTGTATTTGCAGCCTGAATATAAATTAGCTTTAATTGAGGCAATTAATCTTGGGATTAGTGTGGTCCCACAAAAAGCCATTGAATAGAGGGTGGCATTTAGAGTATCTTCTGAAGTAAACCTGATAAACCTTCCACTTCACTTTTCCTCCTTCTTTCTCCCACCCATTTGTCTCCACTCCAGTAGGAAACAATGGTCCAGGTATTGTTAGCAGAGAGTCCAAATAAATAGAAGGAGGTCTATCAGTGTCGTGCCTGGGTGGCTCATTGGGTTAAGCGTCTGCCTTTGCCTCAGGTCATGATCCACGGGTCCTGGGATTGAGCCCCGCATCAAGCCCCACATTAGGAATCCTTGCTCAGCCAGGAGCCTGCTTCTCCCTCTGTCCTTCCCCCTGCTCATGCTTTCTCTCTCTCTCTCTTTCTCTCTCTCAAATAAATAAGATCTAAAATTTAAAAAAAAGAATTATTCTCTTTTATCTTAAAAAAAGAGAGAGAGAGAGAGGCTTATCGAGAACTGGGTGAGCCAAAAAAAAAAAAAAAAAAAGAGCTGGGTATGCCAGTTTGAACAGCTAAGAATTTATGTTGTGAACAATGGAGTGCCAATCTGGAGTTAAACGGGGAAACAGAAAGATGAAATATGCATGTTAGATGATTTAGGGATAACTATAAAACATGGATTGGCGAACTTTTTCTGGAAATGGTTACATAGTATTTTAGTTTTTGCCAGGCTTTGTTACAACTGTTGAATTTTGCTGCTATAGGACAAAGGCAGTCATAGGTGAGATGTAAATTAATGGGTATGGCTGTTGTTCTAAAAAAACTTTATTTACAAAAACAAGCAGCAGTAGCAAGCAGAATTTGATCTTGTTATAGAAGATGAATCGTACAGTGTAAGATCGAACAAGAATCAGATATTCCAATGAAGTAGTTAGCATAATTGACCAAGAAAGACCTGAGGAGACTTGAAGAAAGCCATTAGCAGAGAGACAAAAAGGAGGCAATAAGGTTTTAATATATGTAGGAGATAGAAACCACAGGTCCTAATAACCAGTTGGATATACGTAGAAGTGATAATGAAAATCCAAAGTTTAGATCTGATTTGGATGATAGCGTACAGGTGGTACTCCCCACTCGATGATGGGAAACATGGGCACTGAACTATTACTGAAGGTAACACAGTACCTGGGAAAGCTCTGCCCTCTGGTCACAGGTCACAACCCTGACCAAAATTCTCTTCTCAGTGCAGAACCAGCAATATAATTTCCATGACCCACTATAAAATAAATGAGCATGTGGGAACCCTTATTGAAAATGATTAAGGTTTTCAAGACAATAACAGTAGAGCTTTAAATCAAGCATGGAAGCCTTTTGAAGCCCTGGGCCTTGTGCCCACAAAGATTCATAGGACCATGAATCTGACCCTGCCCTTATCTCCAGCCTGGCATCTTTCAGGGGTGGGTTAGCTACTGTAATTCCAGAAGCATGCTATATTTACAAAATGGGGCTTCTAGTCATGTTTCTTTTGACTAGTGGATTTCAAGGATGTTTTTTCACAGTGCAGGGCTTTGCTGTGCCAGTAATTAAGGAAATTTTTTATTGGGGTCATAGCTTTTTAACATGCCTCCAAAGCCCACTTTTGTTAGTTTCCCAATCTGTCACATAATGTAAATAGCTGTACTTCAATGGTGACTTCAAGTTAAAGGAGCTTTTTAAATTTTTTCTTCCCTCACCTCTTATTCAAGATATGGCAGAATGGCAGTATGCATTCCCCATGACTGATTGAGAGTGCCTTTGGAAGATGAGTTTCTCTCTGTGCATCAAGTTGACAAGGCATTTGGGGTGGCACACTGAAAAGGAAGGTAAGCTCCAAAGTCCTAGACAGCACCCCCCTGCCAGCTGTTTCCTCGGGGGACCTATTGATGTCTTAGAAGGTTAAACCCACTAGGAAGCATGGAGAATGTTCTGTGGCCAGTGAAGAAAACTTTCTTTGACTAGAAGTCCAAAAATACATGCTGTCTGTCCAACTTAGCCACCATTGTTTTGTACCCTTAATTGACTCTTGACATTGCTTAGTACATCTTCCTTATGGTGACACATGAAGCATGGGTCTTCAAGACCTAAAAGTCACTTTTTGTATTATCTTTGTTCTTATTCCATAAAGTTTCAGAGGACCTATCATGTCAAGATATTAGATAATTTATGATACATAACAAAGAGCAAGAAAAAAGAAAAATGTCATCATAGCTGATTATGATGTTTATGTACACACACACACATTCCATTTACAATCAATTACTCCCCTATTTACCAAGAAATATTTCTTTCCATTTGGAAAAAGGAAAGCTAACTACCCAAACACAAGAATTCCTACAGAGCAGTCACCTATTTAGGGTTGCCAGATAAAATAAGAGACACTAAGTATTTACAGAGATTTGGGACATAGTTATACATTAAAATGTGTTATTTATTTGAAATTCTAATTTAATTGGATGCCTTTTTTTTTTAATTGGTAAATCTGGTAACTCTACACCTAAGCTGTGTGGGAAATCTAACCATATGACTTCTAAAGTCCCATCTAGCCCTGAGATTTTCAATGTAGGCATGATTTTATGGTTTCCAGTAAACCTACTTAAGACCAAAGAGTGGAAGTTAAGAGAGGGAAGATAGTGATTCAATAGAAGAAGAATCTGTTAATCAAGCAAAACAGTAACCGCAAATGTAATCCACCTAACCGTAACCCTAACCCTAACCTAACTTAATGGTCTATAAAGTGGGATGTGCTCACCGCAGGAGACATTCAAGGCAGTCCACTTAAGTGGAGGAGGTAAAAAGGAGAACATTCCATTTTTAAATTAGAAAGAAGTTGACAGAAGAATTGAGCCTGGTTCTCTGTCTCTATCAGGAGGTGAAGGTATCATGAAGGATCTGTGATAGTTTCACAGCGCAGGGGGTCCACAAAGAAAAGCATATATTAGTTTTCTGCACTATTAAAAGGGAGGGATAAAAATGTTTCTAATTTTTGTGCTTTGTTTTGCCACAAAGGACATGACATCCTTAAAAATGTATAAGCATCTTTTTTGCATAAGCATGATTTTTTAAACTTAAATTTTCCAGTATAATTTCTGCAGTGTTTAAATTTTTTTCAAAAATATAAAACTGTGATTGTCCAGTTACGTGCAACAATAGCTCAAGGACATCAAGGATGGCAGGGATTTAATGGATAAACTTCAACAAAAACCTTTGCTTAATTACTGGATGAAATTTAGTACCATAATGTAATAATCACAGTTAATAATGTATTTTTTCTTTTGGATCTATATACCAATATGGCATATATTTTTCAGTTATGACAACCATTACAACCAAGTATCAGGATTGCTTTACCATAAAATTTTGTATAATAATAAAGTAGCTCCATACTTTTCATGTACAAAAATATTCTTATACATCTTCTTTGTGAAAACAAAACAGTTTTGATATTTTGCTTTACATGTTGAAACATTTCAGGGAAATTAAAGCGTGTTGAATCATTCATAAATAAAATGAAATATAAATTATTATATCTTTGATCTTTACCTCATCTACTTTTTTTTAAATTTTAAGAATATTTTATTATATTAGAGTACAATGGAAAAATTCATATAATTTTTAAATAAATAATACTTAGAAATCAGAGAAGTGTTTAAAATTGGTGATCTGCACAATTACCTATCAGAGATATTTAGGAGACATTTTAAAATGAGGTGGGGATTTACTCTAAACTCTAAGCTTTACTCATTTTTTTCCACTTTGAGTTTATTATTTTTGACAATTCTAGAGTATCCCAGGTAAAACTGCTCTTTATTTTGGAGGGGTGGGCAGTCTCCTGTTTGGCAAAAAAAAAAAAAAAAAAAGAAAGACTTTAATTTGGAGACCCAAGCCAGAACTATTCTTAAACTGCCTTTGCCTCAAAATTTAGAAGAACAAGGGTATGTCTTCATTTTTGCATATAATACATAGTTCAGCAGTGTTGTATAAAAGCTAATTTAATCATTTCTATTATAGATTAAACCTATTTCCTCTTCTTATAACCATCCAAAAAAAATCACAACTCTGAATCTGAAGATGATCATTAGATTCTTTTCTTTAAAAAATGGTTGTGTCATTTTTAATTTGGTAAAGGAGAGTGCAATCCATTTTTTCTATTTTTTGTTAATTTGTCTACTTTAAAAAAACTCACATATTTGTAAAGTAATTGAATTTTTAAAAAAGATTGTATTTAGAATAAAGAGCTAACCAACAAGTTCAGAAAATATTAGAGCAAAGAATAGATAACTTAGTGTTCTTTGAAATTGCTATGAATTCTTGGAGAGCTGAGAAGAAATAATAGACAAGAGTAGAAACCATATGAAGTTAGATAAAGTTTAGTAACATGAACAAATGTCACTTTTTTTTTTTTTTTTTTGGTAAGCTCTAAGCACAATGTGGGGCCTGAACTCGTGACCCAGAAATCATGCTCTACCAACTGAGCCATCCAGGCACTCCCAAATGTAATTTTTTATTAGTTGCAATTCTGTTTCAATAATTTAAAGTTAGAAGTCATCCTTAGCTTAAGGAAGATATAGATTAACAACTTCATGACAAATCAGAATTACTTTTAATATTTTGACTAGGCCATATTTTATAGGCAAACTGAGTATAATTAAGGAAAATATTTTAGAAGCCTAAATTTATGGTTGGATGCCATTCTTCTATTTAAAAGATATGCAGTAGAAATGATATATACAGGTAAAAACAACACATAGGCTGATTTTTTTTTTTCAACCTGGCTAAAGTAATTGAATTTTCTAAAATAATGCTTTGGTAGCTTATCAAGAAAAGTCCGTAGAAAGTGAAGAAAGGAAAAAACACTTAAATCACTCACTGAGTTACTCTACACTGAGGACAGATTACTCAAGTAAAATGGAAGGTAGGCCTGAGTGCTCAGATCTTGTGGGAGACGTTGTGGCTTCTTAGGGTTTCACTTGACTATACAACTTTATAATATATGCTATATTTGAAATATGAGTATAGTGATAAAATGTCACCAGGTTTGTGGTTACCAAAACCACCCCGAAAAATAAGAAAAAGAAAAGGAGAGAATGAATAAAGAAAGTAAAGGCCTGAATGTAAGATTTTAACATAGTACACTTCTTATTTTTGTGGGGGTTTTTTGTTGTTGTTTTTGGGGGGTTTTTTGTTTGTTTGTTTGTTTGTTTGAGACCATAAACCCATTTTCCAGGATCATCTAAGTTCTTTCTTCAGACTACTTCTATTCAATTTTAAAGGAATATATGGAAATCTCACATCTTAAGTTCTAGTTCCCAGCACCTCTTTCCTATTCTTAAAAATTTATCTTTGAAGGTTCCGCTCATTTGTTGCCTCTTTTGTGAAAACATCCATGATGAATTCAGAATATTTTATGCAATGTTATTTCACTGATTATCATCAACATTTGTTCTTCTCTGTTGGAAGATGAGCTCTACAAAGCAAGGCACACATTTTATTCATCCCTCTATGCCCAATGCTTAGAACAGACCAGCTTAACATTGATAAAAGTCTGATAAACTTAAGGATAGAAGGGAGGGAGGGAGGGAGGGAGGGAGGGAAGGAGGAAAGGAAAAAAGGAAGAAAAATTAAATACATGAATAAATGACTGAAGAAACAGTTTTTGGAGGAGGTATTGGATATTTCACTAGTTATTAGAGTTACAGGAAGAGTATAGCATATTTCTTCTTTAATATCCCCTGTTAGGTAGGCATTAGATTCAGTCCTGAGCAATGAATAGCATGAAAACCCAAGAGTATGAAGTTAGAGCCAAGTGTAGTAGGTAGCAATAAAAAGTTAGTGCTAAATCAAAGGCAGGCAGATCATTAAAATAGAGCTGTCAATTAAAAGAGCCTGAGTAAAAAGTCAGAATTCAAATCAAAAGCAAAGGACTAGAAACTAGACGAAAGAAGAAGAGAAGCAGAACCAAGAGAAATCCCAAAGGCAAAGAAAGTAATTACTATAATTCTTTGTGTGTTAGTAATGACCTTAGCATTCCATAGAGACTAAGGGTCAGATCCTGCATAGGCTGCCTGAACTCAGAAGGGCTTTGTTGTTTACCAGATCCCTTACTTTTAGCATGACACTTTCCTCATTTGTAAACCAGATATGATAATGATACTTATCATTATCATTACTTATCATAAAACTTATCATACTTATCATAAAAAAGTGGGGGATAGATCCTGGATACAGTGACAGTATTTATCAATTTACTTAGATCAATCCTGATTTATGTACGCAGTCTTGGTATCTTATTTGGTTAGTTCTTTCACTATCTTAAACTATCATAGAAACTTTAAAAAATGAAATGTGATGGGGCACCTGGGTAGCTCAGTGGGTTAAAGCCTCTGCCTTTGGCTCAGGTCATGATCCCAGGGTCCTGGGATTGAACCCCGCATCGGGCTCTCTGCTCCGCGGGGAGCCTGCTTCCTCCTCTCTCTCTGCCTGCCTCTCTGCCTACTTGTGATCTCTCTGTCAAATAAATAAATTAATTAAATCTTTAAAAAAAAAATGAAATGTGTTAGAGTATCTTTAGGATGTCAAGATAGGGAATAATTTCCTGAAACACAAAATAAAATATACAAATTATAAATCAGTCAAATCAGACGGTGTCAAATTTAAAGTTTCTGAACAAAAGACAAAATGAAAAATAGTAATCAAGAAAATGCAGATAAAATATAATGAATGACTTGGTTTCTATAATAACACAGAGATGGTCGCTGAGCACACCTCCCACACAGACCAACAGAAACTGAACAAATTGCAATGGATTTAAATTAAACAGAGTCTG